CAGACCGGTTTGAACACATACCAGTCATAACAGCTGACATTGCAAACGAGTGGAAGACATTCACTAGAAACCCGGGGCTGCCGCCGAATGCTACGGTTTCAAATGAGTTAAATTGTGCCTGAGGGTCAGGAACGAACTTCCCGGTGTACACTAGAGGTTCAGCTGACTGCATTTAAGAGGTGGCTTAGAAGGAAAGACACTTGAACTCGAATGCGATTCGCAAAGGCGCCCAGGGAAGCAGCAAAATCAATGTCCAAAGCGAAAGCTAGTTCCTGGGGAAAGTTCTGCCAGTTGTTGGAGTCGAATTTCCAGGGGACAACCGCGCCTTCTGGCAAACTATTCGCCATCTCCAAGGTGGAAAGAAAAGCGGTCCGTGAGTCCTGAAGGCTATGTTTAAACGCTTACTCCCTAAGGATGACAATTTACTTCGACAAGAGAGATAGTGTTTCGAGAAACTCCTTGACACCGAGCATATATATATATATAGCAGGTTATTATATTAGTATGTCAATGAATGAAGTCAGAAAAGCTGTAATAATCTAGAAAGTGGCTGGGCTGCTGGCATCGATGAAATCTGTCCTGAAAAAGCTACCGGTGAAGATGCCATGCTGTTGTAAACATATGTCCGTAAAACAGCAATGGTATGGGGAAGACGCTAGTTGACTGGACGATGGTGACTGTATTACCACTCTTCAAACAGAGATGCCATAAGGACTGCTCTAATTATTAGGGCATTACGCTATTCAGCCTTAGGGATAGTCTACACCACAGCACTGGAAAAGAATTGCCGCGCACTGCTCCGTTCAATCCTCGATACAAGAAGAGCCGTGTGGCTTCCGGCCCGGTCAAAGCGCCTCTCACCATATACCTGCCCTGCGCCACTGTTGAGAAAACGCGCGGGTACGCCCAGCCGGTGTACATGTCTTTTGTATGGCCGGATCCCACGCAACAGACTGTGGACATGCCTTCGTGCATACGGGATTGGTGGCCAGCTGCTAAGGGACATCCAATCACTGAATTCTGATAGCAAGTGCTGCGTCAGAGTTAATGGCGCTAAGTAGAAACCGTTCAACATTTGCACTGGTCTCCGCCAAGGCTGCGTCCTGTCCTTTCCTGCTTGTGTCGTACATGGATAAAATAGTCAGGAGCTGCCAAGGCGATGAGGGTATCGGTGTAGGAGATGTGAAGTCGAGAAGGTTGCTGTTTCCAGACGACCTTGTTGGTGGAGAAGTTCAAGTGCCTCTGAGTCGTGTTCACTAGTGATGGAAAATTTGAGGAAGTGATCGACCGGCGGATTGGAGTAGCCAGTGGCGTCTTGCGTGACTAAAGTAGAGCTGAATCAGAAGACTAAGTTCTCGGTGTTCAAGATGATCTCCATCAATATGCTCACCTACGGCTGTCATTAATGACTGATTAACTTCAATGCCGGATACAAATGACTGAAATAAACTTTCTGAGATGAACCGCTGGGCTCGCACACCTCGACATGATCCGTGGTATAGAAGCCCAAGAGGACCTTCATATACAACAGTTCTATTTCTAAATTGATAAGTCACAAAGGCGATATT